AATCATAAACTTTAACTTTGTTTGCTCCTTTTTTAATATTCAGACAATGATATTAACATTAGTTTTAATGTTCGATCATCAGTATTTTTTGTTTTTCGATTATTTTTTATTTTTGTTTTTTCTTTGTAACAATTCTATGTTTATGACACATTTTTCTATATTTTTTTATACATTTTTTAATCTTTTTATAGGCCATTTGATCGTTTTTATTGTTTATTTTTCTCAAGGTTTTGATGTTGACACGACTAATCAAAATGTCACTAATTTTTTATTTATATTTTCAGAGTTTTGATGCCAATTTAGATGTTTCAAGGATTGGAAAATCGGATGTTGATACCTACATTAATTTGCCCCTTGTTCCCCGTAATGAAGAAGCCGAGTTTGACATTTTGGAGTATTGAAAATCACAAAGTGCTTCTTATCCTGTATTCTATCGCATGGCGAGAGATATATTCGCCATCCCAATTACTTAAGTTGCTTCTAAATCTTCATTTAGCATGGGTGGTCGAATTTTGAACAAGTTGAGAGTGAAACTCTTACCTAAAAATGTTGAGATTTTTGTAAAAACTCGAAATTGGTTGTATGGTTTTGAAACGAAGAAATGGATGAAGAATATCTTACTGTGATCAATGATCATTCTTCTTAAAAGGTATATATTTGATTTGCATGCTTCTTATTGTGTTTATTTCATTGAAATTGTTTACTAATGATTTTAGTTTTAGTTTTGTAGGGTGCTTTACACTTACAGCAATCACATTAGAATAAGTTTGTGAATAAGTCTTTCTTCATTCTTCCCTCTTACGGTAACTTGTTCATTGTGTTTATTTCATAATTTTTATTCATATTTAAAATGTTTTACTAATGATTTTTTTTAATTTTGTGGGGTGTTTTACGACGACCATATTAATGAAATAATTGTAGTTTTGCACTGTTGGCCATTGTATTCCCCTTGGTTTTACCTTTGCTTGGATTGGTATGAATGTTGGCTGGATTAGTCTGATTGCTTATTGGTTGGCTGGACTGGTCTGATTGCTTGTTGGTTGTCTATACTCTGTTGCCTTGTAAATTGTTGTTGTTGGTCTCACTGAATTGAACTTAGCTATTATAAATTCTTATCTAATTAGTTATCAATGATTAAATTATGTTGGTGGCATTTTTGCTTTCAAAGCAAAAAAGTTGTCCATAATTTAATCATATTGGCAACATTTAGATCATTTGAAATAATTAAAAGTTCGATGAAGAAATTTTTGGTAGCAAAGGCAAGCTTTCAGCTTCGTAAAACTTCTGCTATAAGATACGAGAGCTTAAATTTGTACATAAATTTATTTACTCCATTTAATTGTTTTGTGGCATATGAAGTTTAATAAATTTAATTTGTACATTTACACATTTTGTTTGTTTCAATATTTATTAAGTTATTAAATCTTTAATCTCATATCTTAATATTATCATAACTAGAATCATGAATAATATATGTAAGTTAAAATATATTTAAGTTATTAATTAAAAGCTAAAAAATGATCCATGAATCATTTAATAAAATTAATTTTATAGTTATAGTTAATTTTTTAACATTATAATCATAATATATATAAAAACTAAATTTAGTAATATAAAGTAAATTTAGTAATAATATTATCTTAATTACTAATTTATTTTACATTTATTATTAATTTTATCAATTTCAAGCCATTCATTTAATAATTTTTTTGAATATATTTATAAGCTACAATTTATAAACATTAAAATTAAATACGTTGATTTAATTATCATAGTTAATCACCTTTTAAAAAAATTATCATAGTTAATATTAGAAATTCATAATTTCTTAACTTCATTAATTTAACTTACAGGTAAATACAAGTCAGATAAATATTAGTTTAGTTTAATAACATGTATGATCCTTTACATGTTAAGTCAATTATAGAACAGGTTTATAACAAGTCAAGTTGAAACCATGTCGAATAATAACAGTTATTTACTAGGTTAATCTCGAGTTCGTGTAAATATCAGATCGGATGCAGGTCGGGTTCAATTTTCATATTATCGGGTTTAGGTCGGATGCAGGTCGTAAATTTCCAAATCCAACTCGGGTTCAAGTCAATACCAGTTTGGACTCGAATCGGTTCCCAATTACCATCACATCTGATCACAAACAATTTTGACTTAAGCCGATTTCAATCAATTTTACAGGTCGGGTACATCCCTACTTAAATTATTACACTTCATCACCACTTTTCCCTTATACTATTTAACGTTAAAATTATTATTTAAATTTTGTTTAATTTACTTTTAAAAATGTTATGATAAGACATGTTTGACGAAAAATATATATATATTTTTTCTATAATCTTATTTATTCTCTTTAAATATCTAAAAATTAATAAATTATAGTACATCAAAATCACATTATAAATCTAAATTCATTTAAGGGTAAACTACATCAATGGTCACTAATGTTTGAGTAAGTTTTTGTTTTCCTCATTGAAGTTTCAAAAGTAACAAATTGGTCATTGACATTATGGATTTGTAACAAAATAGTCACTCCACCGTTATCTTGTTAAATTGATGATGTGAAGACGTTAATAAAAAGGTTAATATTTAGTTTTACCCCTAAACTATTGTTAAAACATCAAATAAGTCCTTAAACAATGATTTTATATATCTAATTTATCCCATAAGTTTTCTAATTTATAATTTTTTTTCGAACATCCCACCACCACAATTATATTCGAACCTCATTCCTTACAAAACGAAAACACACTACATAGTTAAAAGGAGTTTTTCCATTAAAGATAAATACATGAGTATTTACAGCCATATATTCAACTAATTTTAATGTAAAAAAAATAATGTTTTTGGGATGATTTTCGTTTTGTAAGAAAAGTTATTAGAATATTTAAAAACAAATGAAAGTTTGTTTGTGGTTTTTGTTTTTGTAAGGAAATTGGTTAGAATATAATTGAGATGGTGGGTGTTTAAAAAATTGAAATTAGAAAGTTTTTGGGTTAAATTATATATAAAATCATTGTTTAAGGACCTATTTAATGTTTTAACAATAGTTTAGGGTAAAACTAAATATTAACCTTTCTATTATGGGTAAATTACGCCAATAGTCACTAATATTTGGGTAAGTATTCGTTTTCACCACTAATGTTTGAAAAGTCACAAATCGGCCAGTAACGTTATATTTTGTTACAAAATGGTGACTAATGTTATCGCTTGTTATAAAATGTCATTCGACGTTAACAATAGTAACTGAATGCTGACATGGCACGTTAAACCAGCTGACTCAACATGTTTGACCGATCGTTTGACTCTTCTTCTTCTTACGTCAGTGTTTGCTCCTTGATTTCCACTGTTTTTGCAACAGACTCAAAGCAACAGGCTGATAGTTTTAGTTTCCAGACTTCAAGAGTTACATATGGAGGTGTAGATGAAACTTATTACACTTCTATGAAAAAAGCAGGAAGATGGACAACGATGGAGTAACTTTTTTTCGATGAGTGCTCTATTATGATTCAAACGCTTATCGTATTTGATATCGGTGTTGGTTGTTTCAGGTTGTGCTTGAGGAGAAAAAAGAAGCATATACAAAAATGGGTCAAGCAACACGTAGGATTTCTAGAGGAATTCATGATAAGGTAACTTTCTTCCATTGGTTTCTTGGGGAACAATTAATAAACAAGTCCAGGCTTAAAGAATGCAGTTATATATGTCCAATATTTGACTAAATTACTGCAACTTGGGGTGTGTTCTAAAAGAAGCTGATATTTTCATATTTTGATTTTATTAGATGAACTTGCGGAATTCGAAAAGGCTTGGAAAGGTAATAGTGAGGGTCATTTGGCTGGTTGGAGTGATGGCTTTAGCAAGCCCGCTGCCTGCTAATGTTGGTACACATTTCTTTTAACCTTTTATATAGAAGGTTTCATTTTGATGGATTTAGCAACCTTTATTATCATGCCATTTGACATCATTTCTTTCATTTTCTTTTTCTTTTTGAATATCCAATGCGAATGTAGGACCTAGAAGTCATGAACAGATGGGGTTGGCAGTGAAGGACAGTCGGAGACATCCATATAGAGAGCATGGCAAAAAAGGTGGAAATCAAGGAGCAAACACTGAAATAAGAAGAAGAAGAGGAGTCAAACGGTCAGTCAAACATGATGAGTAAGTTGATTTAACGTGTCACGTCAACATTTCATTACTATAGTAATGATTTGTTAATGATCGTTAACGTCAAGTGACTATTTTGTAATAAATGATAACGTTAGTAACCATTTTGTAACAAACGATAATGTTAGTGGTCATTTTGTGACAAATGATAACGTCAACATTCTGTTATTGTATTAATGATTTGTTAACGGCTGTTAACATCGAGTGATCATTTTATAACAAACAATAACGTTAGTGATCATTTTATAACAAACAATAATATTAATAACCGATTTATGACATTTTAGAAGTTAATGATGAAAACGATCACTTCCCCAAACATTAATAACCATTGATGACGTTTACCCTTCATTTAACTGAACAACCTCTACAAATCTTCAAATCTATCAACAATATCGAAGAGGGACATTATTTTCATGGGATGACGGGACTATGTAGATATGTACAGCATCAATCAAACTTTAGGACACGGCACTACTTTGCCGCAAAAGCTTGAACCGACCTAGAGGAATAGGTTGTGCAATTTCTAATGAAACGAGTCATTCAAATAATCCTTACAAAGAAAATAGTCGTAGTCATACACCGATTCATATTTTCGAGATCACTATTATTTTTAAATATATATATATATAATAGTTATTAAATTTTATTAAATTATTATAAAAACATAATTATTTTTTATTAATTTATCAAAACTTTTTTTTTACAACTCCAAATCTCCAACTTTCTTTAAACAATGGAGGAAGCATATTTATAAAAATTAATGAACATATTTTTCTGTTCTTAAAATATAAACATGATTCAAAGCTTTTAAACTATGGTTAATTAATCGATAATTAGCGGTTAACAATTTCCATGTACTGATTAAGCGACTCTTGTCTCTGCAACCTCATGTCCTCGTTGAACTTCTTTATAAACGCTTCCGCTCGCCGGTTCAACTCTTCCTGACTCAGCGACGGCTCTTTCCTCAGTTTCACTGCCGAAGCCGGAGAAGGAGAGCTCACTTGTACAGGTGGAGAAGGCTGGTAATTGGTCCGGTCTCTGAACGTTTCAAATTTCTTCATCGCCGCCGTCGAATCGACCAACGCCTCGACGTTGATATCACGGCCGTGATTGTCCCAAGTGTCCGATTTCTTCAAGTGCCTCGTCATCGGCATCGCTCTCCCTTCCGTTATCATCTTCCACGTGCTCTCCAACGTCTCGTGGCGTTTGGGTTTCGCCACCCGCTTCAATGCTCGGCCACCTGCATTAAGCCACAGTAGAATTAATTACGCTATTTAGATATTTTAAGTTTCTTAATCATATATTTAAATTTGAATTTATTGAGTGGCGCGTCGTCTAAAGTATCTAAATCAATTAAAAATGAGAGGACTGTTTCCTAACTTTATAGGGGGACTAAAACAATAATTAGACAATGAAACATGAAACACGTGTGGAAAAAAAATAACTGAAACACCGCCGGAACGCCTCCGTCGACTGGACCAACGAGCTTTGCAGAGTTTTTTGAATTTCAAAAAGTTGGTGTATAGAGAGTCTAACCAAGTAACCGCTAACAATTTTTAAATAAAAAATGACTAAAAAAATGCTGAATATACCTTCAGGACTGGCTTTAACAGGTTTCCGGTGACCGAATCTAGAGGAAACCGGCGGTTTTGCCAGCTGAAACATAACATCCGATGGAATCTCCGACGAATCCATTCTCCTCGGAGGAATCCACTCGTCACCTCCTCCATCTCTAACAACAATCGCTACATTGGTATACGCCTCAAAAACCGTCGTTTCCACCTCTTCTCCTCCCCGCTTTTGCTCGTACTCGACCAGTTCCGTTTCACCTAAATCCAAGCCGTTCTTCATCTCGTGCTCCACCGCTGGCCGTTGATCCAAGGAGATTATCGGTCTCGGCTGCCGCTGCTGCATCTCTTCCGCCTGTTCGTCATCCGCGTGGTTTTGGTGAAACCGCGACGATGCTACAATCGTGATTATGATTCCATTGATGATGACGTAAAGATACTGTGGCTTGAGCCCAGAAGAGACCGTGCTCCATAACAACGGAGCTTGAGAAACGGAGAATTCCATGACCAATGGAACAGAGACTTTAAGCCCTAAAACTATGGCCAATAAACCAGTGGAAATAAACAGTACCTTCAAAGATAACATCCAAGTGCTCGCCGACGCCATTTTTGGAGGTAAGAAAACAAGAGAGAAAGCGAAAAAAAAACTCTGGTTTCTTTGCGCTGTTGCCAGTTGCGGGAGTGAGGTGAATGGAAATATATAGCCAGTAGGGACGCAGACTATGATTCAATTTTGTCCGTTAGATTCGAAATGCAGTGCGAGTGGACGGTGGAAGTTTGTTTTCCGGGAAAAATGGGCGGTGGGGCCATGTGTAGATAGAATTAGTTGGATTACATTTTTATTAAATTAAATAAATAGTATTTTTGATAGAGAATTAAATAAAAATATTAATTGTTAAAAGATAAGTGATGGGTTAAAATGAAACTTTCCCTGTGGCTGTTTAAGTGGACACGAAAACAAATGATCCTTCCGGAACATTACTGTCATAATTATGTTTTTATGTTTACAATTAAGTTGTTTTTCTCTATCAGTCACATCATTGATTATGTATACTAATGGATTTTGTGGTTAATTTAAGGAGATAATCTAAAAAATTACAAAATTATTGATATATTCAAATGTGTATTGAGATATTTTATTTTTAATTGATCTTATTTTAAGATACGAATTAAACGATCTCAATAATTAAATATTGTTGTTATCTCTTAGGGTGTGTTTGGTTGGGGGAATGTGAGATTCTCATGAGAATAGAATCCACATTCTCCCGTTTGGTTGACCGGGAATATTATTCTCGGTAATCATACATTATCAATAGTAGATTTTTTTGAGTATATTACCGAAAATGTCATTACCTCCCTTTCCTTAGGTATTGTTAGATTACTGTTGTTTTGGACTAAAATGCCCTTAAATTTTTTTTCTTTTAAAAATATCATTATTTTGTCATTGAATAATAAAAATTATATGAATGCTAAATTACAAATTTATCCTTAAACTATTTTAGATTTACAAAAAATCTATAATTAAAATTTTATATGAAGTCCAGGGGTTAAAATAAAATTTTACCCTTTCATTAAACCTTTTTATATTTTTAATTTTGTAAAAAATTATATAAATTTTATGAATTTAAATTTTTTAAAGAAAATATATAAATATTTTCCAACTTGTTAAGAAAAACAAATATATAATAAGGACAATTTGGTCAAATATACATTCCAATAATCTTTTATTCCTTTAACCAAACACTGTAATCTTGCATTCCGTGAACCAAACGCACCCTTAAGGTATTAACATTATGTATACATGAGTGTATGAGTATTCATTGGCAAACGATTAAGAGTCTTTAAATAAATATTAATACTACATTATATTCACTCAAAACTAATAAATAAATTTATTTTTTAAAACTTTTTAAAGTTTTACAATCTTATTAAATTTTAATTAGGGATAGATGAAAATTTTATATCAAAAATATAAATTAAAAAAATTATACTAAAAATATAAGATACAAAATTACAAATGTTAATAAATATGAAATTATAAATAAATATAAAATAACATATAAACTTTACATAATTTTGAATTTTCAAGAAATACAATCATACTCCTAGCACTCTTCAATTCATCTTTAACTTTAACTAAATTTAAAATTAAACTAAATTAAATCTACAAAACAATTACGTAAACAATTAAATTTTTGATCATTCAACTCAACCGAGGTTAAAAATGAATAGGTAACTTTTCTTCTTCTTCTTTTTGATAATCTATCATTACGTAAGCATTGTGTGCTAAGGGATTAACCCTAACATATCTCTTAATTAAACTAAAAATTTTGGATAATGGAAGTAGAAGATAGATATTATATATAATATAGTTTGGAGTCGTTGGATGTTAGCTGTCTGGGGATTATTTGATAGTATTGTTTTATCAAAAGAATGTAGGGACATTAAAAGTTAGGTTTATTACATAAATCTTCTCGAAAGGTTTATTATATAAATAGGTGCCTGGATTTAGTATTATATAATATTTTTTTTTTAATTCAGAATATTAATAAAGATAAGTTTCATTTAAGGAAAATATTTATTTCATAGTGGGTAAAATATCCACGGGCACGACAGGTTCGGACAATCACATCACCCACGTTGTGCGGGTGTGCCTCCAACCTCGATGGGTTCGATGGGCTTTTTACACCCCTTGCATCTGTGCGTGAGGCACTATTTCAACACAAGTCATTCAATGACTGGCAAGTGGATTTGTGTATATAAACTATTTCCTTACACACCACAATTAACATGTATCATACTTTAAGCATAAATTTTTCATTCATCAATTAACCGTTTTGAGCATATGAGATACTTTTGTAAATATCTCACGAAATAGAATATGAATCAGTAAATTCATTATTTGATTATCCATCTTTACACTTAAAAAAATATACAGTAAAATTTTCAATTTATCACATTTTTTTCCCAACATACGTACGTAGAATGAATACTGGCATTGCATGTGTATAGATGAAGGCGTCATAGTAATAATATTATATCTGAATTAATAAATAAATATATATATATGATCGATAGATAAACAGATTTTCGTTATGGGTATATTCTTTATCCTCTAACAAAATAAAAAAAAAAAACCTTTTATCCCAAAAGTAATGAAGATAAAATAGTGAGATGTGAATGACACCTTTGGCCGTGTCGTGTGCCATCGGTTTGCATGCAATTTGGCAGTTTAAGGATAAGATTTACCAACCTGACGATTAAGACATCCAATACCATTGGTCCTTTTTACATGTTAAATCTTGTTGTTTCCACATTAACACTGTAATAAGATTTAAAAATTAAATATTTTTACCAACTAAAATAAATAATTTTAAGGTTGCTGGAAAAAAAACACATAGCTTTCGGCTAAAACGCGTGTGGGAGAAGGAAACAGATTGTCGGTCCACATTATCCCGTAAATGTTTAATTTTTGGACTAAGATAGCACGGGGAAAACAGAGTTGACTCGGTTAATTCAACAACGTATGAACAGGAAGAAAATGCATGGTAGTTGTACAATTACCATTCAATCACGTATGGAGATTTTAATATTAGAGAATTATGTAAGTGTCACCATACAAGGACCTTGGCCATGCATTTTTATTGATATTATGAGATACGAAAAGAATTATACGTAGAAAAAAGATATTATCTTAATAATAAATATGAAAGGATTTTGCAAGAGTATAAGAATTATAGTTACAATTATAGCTACATGGATACTTTTTTAGTATAAATTCATACTTTCAATTAAATAATATAATTCTATTCATTTTAGATATATAGAAATACACTTCTATTTCTTCATCATAAATTTAAAATTTTCATTTCCCCCCTCGATTTTGTTTCTTCATCACATAAATTCACCACAAATTTTTGGATCAGATAAAGAAAAAATTCAAATCGTAAATCCTTATGATAGATAAATATTAGTACATCTGTTTATTTTATAATTATGATACTCAATTTATAAGATGATTAATTTGGATTAAGTACTATATAGATTCATTTAAACGTTATTTTTTAATATTGATTTATTTTGTTTATAATATAAAATTTTGAATTATTAATTTTATTTAAAAAAATTATGATCTCTTTTTATTAGATAACTTACAAGTGTTGAATATTAGTTCCTTCATGTGTAAAGAAGATGTCTATTTCATCCACTTCTCTTAGCATCCAAAGTAACCACGTACTACTCTTTCTAGTAATTCCCTCGAAGCTAGGTTGCTTTTGGCGCAAATTTCGCGGCATATAGATATTCCAGAATGGTTGACTAACTACATGCCAATAACTGAAAATGATATTAATATAAAATAACTGAAAATTAAAATAATCCAAACATATTCGTAATAACTGGACCTAAAAATTACAAACTTCAAACCCAAAAACAGTTTGAACCAGAGATAGGGACGGTTGAAGGGAACCTCCTGGTATCAGAACGATAAGGTGGCCCATGTATATTAATTAGGGAGAAACCGTTACAACGGTTGGAGCCGTGGACGGTGGAGGGAGCGGATAAAGTCAAAAAAACTAGACGGTAACTTGTCTGGTTCGGTTCAAGTAGAGACAGATTGTGAAACTTAACAGGACACTGACGTCGCAGTCAAATAACAACGAAGATGGCGGATTGGGAACGCGAATCTATTCAAGTCTTTGTAGGACGAAGTCCATAACTGTAACGGTGCATGGTTGAGTGACAGATTTCAGTTTTTCATTGGAACATGTCTTGGCTAAGTTTGCTTTGTTTTTTCTTAATGCAATTTTCACTATACGTGTGCGTTATGTAAGAAAATTAGATATGTATGAATTTATGTATCAGATAATGTCTTGGCTAAGTTATGTATGAATTAGATCTTTATAAGTTTAAACTTAAGTAAAATTACACTTTTGTTCCTTAAAACTTTTCAAATTAAATACGTAATAATCCTATTATTTTGAACTTAGATGTTTTGTCCCTTCCTATATTTGATCTCATCTCCGTCCCTGGGTATAACATATATGATTTAGAGTAATCTATAAATACACTAACAACATATCAAAATATAAATTTTATATAGGTCCATGAACTAGTTTACTTTTGCTAAATACGCCTTTATATTTTGTTGTACCTAAAAAAGCCTCTACACTTTGATTTGTATTTAGATTAATCTTTATTTCAAATGAAATACTGATTTATATTAGGAGTCTTCTCGAGGTATAAATTAAAGGCGCTGAGCTTATTTGGATAGAAATTAAAGCTTTAAGACTTACTTGGATGCCAATTAAAAGTTTAAGGACTTGTTCGATTATTCAAGTGGATTGGAAGTATTAAGGGTTAATCTAAATAAAGCAACAAACCTCAAGGGCATATTTAAAATATTAGCCATATATTTGCAAACACATTTTTAATAGGCCTAAATATACTAAGAGTCCCTATATTTTTTTAGAATCTGAATAAAGTAACAAACTTGTCATCCTTCTCCTTTCAACATGGTTGCTTGCTTGCTTGCATCTTAATTTAATGATCAATGGGAATCTGTCGAGAAAATCTGATAAAAATATCTGCAAGCCTTGATTTGTGGGGCTTCATTGTTATTATTATTATTATTATTATTATTATTATTATTATTATTATTATTATTATTATTATTATTATTATTATTATTATTATTATTATTATTATTATTATTATTATTATTATTATTATTATTATATAGAATAACCTTGGTCATGTATTTTTGTGGACAAACATGTAACGGTGCACGTGTATGTGTGTGCACCAAATCTGTTGGAGAAATATTATCTAATATGGATTCAATTTTATATTAAGAAGGTATACATATAATTGTATTTATGGAGAATTATAAAAAAAAATCAGTAATAAATATTGAATATAATGATAATGGTATGAAATAAACAAAATGAAGTAACGAGAAGAATAATAACAAGAAAAAATTGTAAGAATAAAGAAAGATATATGTATTATTATTTTAATATAATAATTTTATAACATTTAAATAATTTCTTAACATTTTAAATCAAGCGAGCAATCTTCTTTTAATATTCTCTCTTCAAAACTCTGTATGTTTTCTAAATTATTATTTTTTTTGAAAATTATGTTTTCTAAATTAACTTGTGAAAAGCAAGGCTTGTTTTAAGATATGTATCTAAATTATATATATATAAAAGTATCTAATTTTTTTTTATAAAAATAAGTATTTAAATTATATTTTTTTTTTTCATTTAGGTATCTAAAATTAGCACATGATATTAATTAAAAAATACTTTTCATTCCTAAATAAAAAGATGATATATTTTAATATTTACTTTGAATAAAAAATATTTTAAATATTTAGGTAAAAAAAGTACGCTATATTTTAGACATTATCTTAAAAAAAACGTATTTTAAGTAAAAAGAGAAACGTAATATATTTTAAGTATTTATTTTTATTTAAATTAAACTAAAAGAAAAACCGTTACAACAGTTGAAACTCAAATCTTGGACGGTTGAGGATAAGTAAAAGAAAAAGATGATAACAGTTTTGTGGAACTCAAACCGTTGGTAGAATGTTTTTGTATAGTCGTAGGATAATGAGTAATTTAAGTACAGTCAGAGAATAGCTAACCATCAACTTTTTTTTTTTTTTTTTGGATAAGTTAACCATCAACTTTCTCAAGTCTTTACGGTCCAAAATCCTGAACCGATACGGTGCCGACATTTCTATGAATGGGCGACAGGCTTCATTCTTCATTGGATCAGGTCCCATAGTTTAGTTTGTTCCTTTTTAGGATAAAGTACACCCGAGATCCTTAAAATACGAAGACTTTTAAAAATTATAAATAGTCATTAAATTCATCGAATAATTATAAAATGATCATTAAATTTTATTACAATGATGCAAGGTAATCATTAAATTTTATCGAATTGTTAAAAATAGTTATTAAATATATCAGAATTTTTTATTATGAAAATATTATGATGAACATTTTTTAACAATTCTATATTTTATGAATTTTTAAAGTTTAATAATTAAAATGATAATTTGGTCAGGATTATAATGTGATACCTCACTATATATATATATATATATATGAATGTATATTTTTATATTTAAGAAAATTAGATATGTTAAAGGAATGATCATTATCCCTAGAGGTCTTTGGTTCGAGCACATCGTATGCCAAGGGTGTTTAAGCGTTTATTGTCGAATGAGTTGACAGTCTTTAGAACAGATACTAACTTGTAATCACTCTCGTATTAAAAAGAATAAATAAATCTAAAGAATAAAAATGAAGCTTGAAAGGGCGCCGTGTTTGTTGGTAAAGATTCCACAAAGTAAACTGGAAAACGATGCTCAACTTGAAAGCTTGTGTTATGCTTACATGCACTTGTTCAATTATTATAATTCTTGCATCATAACAGATAAACCATCTTTCCTCGATCAATTAGCTAACCAAACTAATACACTTTAATGTAAGCTGACATCCACCTGTTTATTGGATTGAATGGTAAAAAAATTTATACAAGTCTCGAGTATGAGCACTGCGGATGAAAAAGCTAACATGAGTAAAGTCGATTCAACAATGATTTACTGCTTTGCAAACATCCCTTGCGTTAATGACGAGAAATAATAATCTTTTCCCCATTGAGATTGAATAATAATCTTTTCCCCATTGAGATTGAGTAATTTTAGGAACCGAGACGGGGAGATCGGCTTACCGCCGATGCTTTTCATTCCAATGGAACTCCCGGCCTTGGGGTGGAGAAGCTGCAAGTGCAACCAAATCAGAAGGGTGCTTGAAAATGGGGCATATGACAAGTTGGATAACAATGAAAGCGATTACGTGTTAATCAAGAAACGCATTTTAACAAAGTTCTTACGAAATTTGGTCATCATATTTATGTTTCTGTGCGCTATGAATACAGATGTTCATGTAACTGATTTTTACATACAACTCTTCATACTAGGGCCGATTAACGTATGAAACAGTGCACCGAAATGTCAACTAGCAACCGGCGTTACCATTTCAGTAAATTAATGAAAAAAGCTTCCAAAACCCGGAGCAGGAGAGTGGAAGGCATTGGACCTGAATCGATGAAAATTTGAGAATTGATCGGAAAGGCCAAGGCTTTGAAGAATCCCTGAACACTGCATGGAAATGAACATTCTGAGATTGACACTAGCCCATCGTGACATTAACTCGAGTCCGAGTCCACAGTAACTCGGGACAGAAAAGCATTACTAAGAGCTACATTGTTACCGGATAGCTACTTAGTTTGCAACTTAAGCAGACCATCCAGTATCTGCAGAAGGTGGCACCAAATAGGCCAAATCAACTTAGTTGAATGCACCAAAAAGCAGGTTATATGTTAAGAAAATTGACCGACATTAATACGATAAACACCGAGAATCGACGTTAAAACAATACTGAATGAAAAGAAAACTTCGACATGGTTTTCTTGCAGACCACTTAATTCGAGACAAGAATCCGATAACAAGTGGTCTAAGACAGTCATACAAGTTTTAGAACATGTTTAAACAATGAAATCAGATTCTTCAACCATGGCCTTTGCTTAGGAGAAACATACTTCAACCATGTATTTTCATCAAACACCACCAAAACCCAAACTTCACCAACTAAAGCAAAAGAAAAACACTAAAGCTTAAATGGGTAACAAACAAAATGATCTCAGAAGTGAAAATACAAAAGAGAAAAGAGAGAACCTGCGTGTTTATCTAATACGATTAATTCATATTACTTATTAACTAAATAATAATCTTATAGAAAACAGAGTACATGCATTTCTAAGCTTACATTCAACCTAATAATGAGTATATCATTCATTTTTCTTGTCAGGCTTCATCTTAGCTTCAGTTTTCCCAGTGGTATGGTTCAACATTGTATGCATACTGCTGGAGGAAAGAAAAAAGAACCATCTCCACGCACACCAATGTGTTTTGAAGAGCTTCCTGAATGTGCTCTACATCCAACCAATAATGATGTGATCGAATGATGCCCAGATAAAAGGAATGGAACTAAAATTAAATATTGTTTAGTTTCGAATTCATCCAAGTATTTAAGTTTAAAAGTGTAAATGAGATAAGATTTTAATGTCCCGATGTTTAAAAAACAAGTTTTTAGCTGCCAAAAGCAAAATAAAACGACCCCCTTGATGCACAAGAACTTTGCAAGTGGCTTGTGAGGTGCCAACTCTTTGGCAAAGAATATAGTGCCAATGAAACAGACACATTGAGGATGACAATGAATGTCCAGCTCAACCAGGAAGGATAAATCTTAAGGAGTTGCTGTGTTATCATCAACATCGAACACACCGGCCGGATCACCACGAATTGCCATGTCCAGTACATGAGAAGCTTTAGTGTAGGCTGTAGTTTTGAGTACAACAGCAATGGATCAGAGAGACTTTATTGAAAATGTAACTTTTTGGAAGTAAGCATGCTTTAGTTTATAGAGTTAATAGCAATAATTAGATAAAATAAGGATCTAATTAAAAAAAATATAGATAGAAAGATATTATAGCAATTATTCCTGAAAATAATAAAGATTAATTATACTATTATTTCTCGGTGCGGTTGGGTCAAATATTTTCACCCTAAACATGAACTGAACCCAAACCCAATTCTTTTTTTTATAAAAAAAAAACCTGTACACTATAAAGTTTGGTCGAGTCAAAACCTGTCGAGTTCAGGTCAAATGCCCACTTTAAGATCTAACATTTCAATTAAAAATAGTAAAATATTCTAGAGACCACAAAACTATGATCAAATGATCGTTTTGATCATTGAACTTTCAAAGTTATAAAATCATTAATATTGAATTGTTACAAAATGGTCATTAAATTTATCAAAATTTTCACCTATTATAAAGTCATAGTGATTATTTCATAACAATTTGATAAATCTAACAATTATTAAATAATTTTTAAAAGTTTAATGACTAGATGATCATTAGAGCATAATTCATTTGCCTCCTAGGGATGGGCATGAGTCGGGTTTTGGCCAACCCGACCCGAAAATTTTACATCATTCACCCTACCCTCCACCCGACCCAACTTGATAAAATTTGAACCCGATCCAACCCAACCCGAAATAATAAAAATATTATTTTTATTCAGTAAAAACAATAATTTAATTGAAAAATGTATAGAGGGGTATTATTGTAATTATTCCTAAATATATAAAGTACAATTATATTTTTTCCGGGCCGGGTCAGATATTTTCACCTTAAACCCGAATCCGACCCGAACCCGATTTTTTTTAAAAACCCGACCCGATCGGCGGTTGGTCTGGATGATGGTTGGTCTGCATGTAATAAAAATTTCTTGGCTTATTAGAAACCTTCAGGCATGAAGGGTTACCAACTTTAATAAGCTTGCGATTTCAATATGTTTCAGAACTTTGGGCCATGGTTCGATGTTCAAGGCGCCGGGGGTTTTTCAGTGGTTCTTGTTGATCCATGGAATAACAGATCTGATGTTTCCTCTGAAGAATGGACCTATCAGGTTAATTTCTGCAGATCAACAACATTATCCGGCCATATATTATCGAGTTATCGACTTTTCGAGTTATATATATCATCCATAGATTTTTTTTGAATAATTATGTGGGAATTGAGGGAAAATACCTTGGACTAGATGAATTAATTCAATCAAATAGTTCACTGTGGACAAAGGGGGTTGTATTCTACCTATCAACAATTCACTGATCTGATACAAGGTTTCTTTCCTTGCTCCACAAGGCAAGGGTCCTTTAGCCTTAAATCTCACTAGTATGGGGAAGGGTCAAGCTTGGGTTAACGGACAGAGCATAGGACGATACTGGCCGGCCTATCTCTCACCATCCTATGGTTGTACTGAGAACTGCGATTATAGAGGAGAATACGATTCAACGAAATGTCAACAGAATTGTGGCCAACTGGCTCAGACATTGTAAGTTTACGAAACATTCAATCTCGATCCTATATGTAAACTTCTATGTTTGATGTATTCTCAAACTGTTGCTATTACCGCTGTTCAGATATCATGTCCCACGCTCTTGGGTACATCCCGGTGAGAACTTATTAGTAGTTCATGAAGAGCTCGGTGGTGATCCTACACAGATTTCAGTGCTGACACGAACTAGCCAATAGATAAGTTCATTTGTATCCGAGGATGATCCTCGGCCAGCAGATTCTTGGATACCAAATGAAGGCTTCGGGTCTCAGAATCCTGAAGCTCAACTCAACTGTGAACAAGGCTGGCGCATTACTTCGATTAAATTTGCCAGTTTTGGATCTCCGGAAGGAAATTGTGGTTCATTCAAGGCAGGGACTTGTCATACTAACATACTATCAATGGTTAAAAAGGTAAGGAAGCCTTTCTTTGTTCATATATAGTACCTTTTAGATTGCAGATTCCTCAGTTAAGCAAATTTCTTCGGCATCCATGGTTGAATTTGCAGGCTTGCATTGGTGAGGAGAAGTGTTCGATACCCATATCTGCTGCTAATCTTGGTGATCCTTGCCCCGGTGCACTGAAAACCCTTGCCATTGAAGCTATATGTAGTGAATGAAATCCCATTGCTTTTTTACTTGGTAAAAATACAGCAATGCCGTAGGTTTTGTATTTTGACATGCAATTGAGAACACAGAAGCTTGCTGAATATATCTTTCTAAATTATATGCCACTGGAAAGTACTAAAAAATTTCACAACAAATCAGTTTTGTATGATTATCATTTTGGTAAAACGATTAAATTTATCCCACAAAGACATGACGCATACAAGATTCACAAGTGTTTCGTTTTATAATCAAACGACACCATTGTCTCACTACAAGACAGGGTCCTTACCGGCATCACGGAACAAGAAGTATCTTCCCAATATGCTCATTACTTTCCATGAGTCGATGAGCCTCCCCAGCCTCGGATAAAGGAAAAGATTTGTAGATGATAGGCTTCACCTTGCCCGTTGCAACTGCAGGCCAAACATTCTTCTCCACTTCACTGACAACCATTGCTTTGTTCTCTTGACTTCTCGGTCGCAGCACAGCCCCTGGATGCAAAAATATAAAATTAAGTTAATAAACTGTTATCTAAAAAGGGCATGCTTTCCGATATGCCCCAGAAGATGCAACATGTGTAAAGATTACATGACATTAGATGCGTTATAATTTTCTCTATTACCTTGCACCGTGAGCCGCTTTGGAAGTAAAGTATTGAGTTTAATTTCGGTGACTGCTCCACCCTGGAAGCCAATAATACAAAGCCTTCCATCGAAGTTTAAGCTGTCCAGGTTTCGCTGAAGGTAGGATGCTCCAATACAATCCAGAATTACATCAACACCTGCCATTAAACATTTGAGAATTTAAATTGGGCATGTAAATGCTGAGAAGAAGAGCAACAATTCCAGTGTTAGAACTCAGACCAAAGATGTTATTATAAAACTCAAGAACGTACCCTTCCCTCCAGTTTCTTCCTTAACACGTGCAACAAAATCCTCTGTCTTGTAATTGATGCAGACATGAGCTCCAAGTTTCTTGCAGAAAGCTAATTTTTCATCACTCCCTAGGGATCAACATTACCACATCTATATATAATACCAAATGAAAACACAAAACTTTCAATACAATCACTATTGAAGGTAGACCTGCTGTAACCAATACTGTTGCTCCTTTGTCCTTGGCTATCTGAATTGCAAAAGTGCCAATTCCACTTGAACCACCATGGACCTGAAATTCTTATAGCTCTCAGATTACATCTCAAGCAGCAGACCAGATCGTATATGATATAGCTAAATGATACTAAAAAGAGACAGAAAGATATAGAACAAGTCAGGTCAGGCATTGGAATGTTTGTTAAGATGAGGTGCCAAAACCATACACGTAAATTCAAATAAGTTCATTGTTAAGCATTTCAGTAATGCTCTCAGCGGATAAATGTCAAGACAAATAACTCATACTGTAAGTTAAAGGATAATTGATTGATCAATGGTCAGGCCATACCAAATACTGTCTTCAGCGACACGGACACAAAATCCTGAATTCCTGATACTAATATGGACATGTTCACACCTGACACCTACTAGGACGAACTCATGTAAGCTTGAACAGCCGACATCGGAGTACAAATTAGTGGAGAATTGGCACACACCTGCTCTATATACAAGATCCTAAGATAACCAACTAAAGCTTATCCATGAATCATATCGTCAAACAGAGTTACCCTACAACCCAAAGCATTGAACTAGGCCAACACTGAATGATACATAGACAACAATAGTGGATATAAAGGTTACCAGGAAAGTCTCCCCGGCCCATAAGCGACTCATCATAAAAACAGTGGACCAAACAGTACAAGCCACTTGAGGCAAACCAGCAACATCTTTGAGTGACACCCCAGGTGGGATGGGAAGAACATGTCCAGCTGGAACCGCCACTTTCTCAGCATACCCACCTCCACTAAGAAGAGCACACACCTGCATATAAATATAGCACAAACCCAATTTCATAGAAAGGCTAAAACCTCACCAAAATTCAATCTTTAAGCCTCATCCCATGAGGAAAAAAGCATCGGATCGTTCATATAAAAACCACATATTTTCAATTAAGAAGTGGGGTTTCTTCAATTTTACCTGATCACCAACTTTCCAGCGAGAAACATGGTTGCCAACAGCTAGGACGGTGCCTGAACATTCAAGGCCAGGGTAAGGGCTAGCACCCTTTGGAGGAGGGTAATAACCTTTCCTCTGGACAGTATCGGCCCGGTTTAAAGCAGTGGCTTCAACCTTGATAAGGACTTCATCATCCTTGATTTCTGGGTCATCAACTTGCTGTAATTGCAACACCTCTGGGCCTCCTGCTGTTGTTATCACCACTGCCTTCATCTTTTTTTTCTTTCTTTATTTTGGCTATGTAGTAGATTGATAGGTAATATAGGCAAGAATGAGATTCCAGAACTGGGGTTAGGTTTTGATGAGATTAATTTGTGTCTTATCAATTAAGGACTCAAAATTTTAGAATAAACTACATAATTGGTCAATTTTGTTTCATTTTTATAAACATATGATTATTCGATCTAGAAAAGTTAATATGTGGTCACTTTTATTTTATTTTAATTAAGATTTAGTCACTTAACATTAACGACCGTTAATTTTAATGATTTTATGATGTGGCACATTAATAAAAAGATTTAATTTTTACTTTAATCCTTGAACTAATTAGGGATTATTTTATAAATTCAAATCAATTTAGGGATAAAATTCTAATTTATCCTTTTTTTAATATACTCATCTTCTTTCAAATCCACTCAAATCCCTAACATCGCCTCCTCTATCTCTTACCTTTCCTTTACCATTCTTTATCAAAAAGCAATTTATCGGGGTGGTTCTGCGGTGCGGCGCCTAAAAAACGGCTAATATACGGCGTGACCGGTTAAACAAGTGACCGGTTAAAATTTAGACCGGTTATGTTATATTATTTAACCGGAAATATTATAAAGTACAATAACATACTAGGTAGCGCTTATATAATGTAATAGGTAGCGCTTATATTTACCTATTTTATAAGTAAACCGGTATATTTATACCGATAGCATTGCAAATTTACCTATTACATTATATTATATTGAAAGTGTCCATACTTTTTATAAAAAAGATCGATACTTTAACAGTGTTTCATGTTTTCCACCTACAATATTAATTTAATAATTTCATTTGCACAAAAAATTATTTGATTGTTTTGATATTTTATAAAATAATATTTAGAATTTTTAATTTAATAATAATATATATCGTAACGTAAAAAATAAATCATTAGACGCCTATAATTACTAAATATAACCACTACCTATTACATTATATAAACGATACCTATTACATTATATAAGGGCTACCTATTACATCATATGTTTACCTATTATATTGAAAGTGTCCATACTTTTTATAAAATGATCGATACTTTTTTTAAAACTTATGTAATTTATGTTTCAATTTTTTTAACAGTGTTTCATGTTTTCCACCTACAATATTAATTTAATAATTTAATTTGCACAAAAAATTATTTGATTGTTTTTATATTTTATAAAATAATATTTAGAATTTTTAATTTAATAATAATATATATCGTAACGTAAGAAATAAATCATTAGACGCCTATAATTACTAAATTAATATCTTAAAACTCACTCAAAGGATAACCTTAAGAACACTTGAAGAAGCAAGAGAACAACTGTCCAAGCAATCAAAAACGAGAAAATCCCAACATGATAACAACTGAACATTTCATATCAATGTTCAAACTCAAGTTGTAGATTTTGATTTCCTTTGCTTGGCATCATATGAGATTTGGATTTTGATTTCCTTTTGCTTGGCATCATATGAGATTTGGATTTTGATTTCCTTTTGCTTGGCACCATATGAGCTTTGGATTTTGATGAGCATCGGAAGTATTTCAGACTTATGATTTGGGTGGTACTCAACTTATGATTTTAGTTGCTATTTGTTACATTTCTTGTATACCACCCAGATCATACGCCCGAAACGTTTCTGACGCTTTAAAGTTGACCAAAAAATAAAATGGTCGGGATTTCCCTCGCGTTTATACGTTGGAAAAAAAACAATGGAAATTAGGAATAATCAATGATAACATGCATATTGGCTTGGGCTAATATTTATAGTGGAGCCGAAATATATATTGAAATTCAAACTCAAATTGAAATTTAAATTCAAACTCCAATTACATATGAAATGAATTTGAAATGCAGTGTTAAATTGAACATGAAAATTGCATAATTGATTCATACTGTTCAAGTAACATGCTTTATGAACCATCAAGCTAAAAGACAATATTGATTGAGTTCAAAGCTGAGTTGTGAGTTGATGGAGTTGTCACACTTGTCACATGGTTGGAATAAAGTACTCACATGCGAGATAGATTGTTTTGTATACATAACCCATCTCAACGAAATTAATCCAAATAATGTACCCATAACAATGTTCAATTAATGTACCCACAACAATGTTTAATTGATTTGTTGTTTAATTTTCAATTTGAATTATTTGATTTAATAATTTCATTTGCACAAAAAATTATTTGATTGTTTTGATATTTTATAAAATAATATTTAGAATTTTTAATTTAATAATAATATATATCGTAACGTAAAAAATAAATCATTATACGCCTATAATTACTAAATTAATATCTTAAAACTCACTCAAAAGATAACCTTAATTAATGTTTTCCACAGTGAAAAAAGTATGGACACTTTTATAAAAAGGATAGACACTTTACAATATAACCACTACCTATTACATTATATAAACGATACCTATTACATTATATAAGGGCTACCTATTACATCATATGTTTACCTATTATATTGAAAGTGTCTATACTTTTATAAAAAGGATCGATACTTTTTTTTAAAACTTATGTAATTTATGTTTCAATTTTTTTAACAGTGTTTCATGTTTTCCACCTACAATATTGATTTAATAATTTCATTTGCACAAAAAATTATTTGATTGTTTTTATATTTTATAAAATATTATTTAGAATTTTTAATTTAATAATATATATACCGTAACGTAAAAAATAAATCATTAGACGCCTATAATTACTAAATTAATATCTTAAAACTCACTCAAAAGATAACCTTAAATTAATGTTTTCCACAGTGAAAAAAGTATGGACACTTTTATAAAAAGGATAGACACTTTACAATATAACCACTACCTATTACATTATATAAACGATACCTATTACATTATATAAGGGCTACCTATTACATCATATGTTTACCTATTATATTGAAAGTGTCCATACTTTTTATAAAAAGGATCGATACTTTTTTAAAACTTATGTAATTTATGTTTCAATTTTTTTAACAGTGTACTGCGAATTTAAAATGATAATATACTTGTAGTTATTGTACATACCTAAATATGTACTGCGAATTTAATGTTGTACCCACCCTTTAACTACCACTACCAATGCCACATCCTATTGAAAGCAGCACGACAGAAACATGTTCAAAATGAACCTTCGTTTACATATCCATCAACTCCTGGAGCACTGAACTTGCACAACAAAATTTTTGCCATGGATAATACTGATGTAGACAATGTTAAGCCAACCGAGGATTGCCATGAAGTACATAATGTTGATGAATCTGACAGATTGGTTGGTCAGCTCTTCTGTTCACGTGATCAAGCTTGGCACTTTTACAATGGATTCGCACGGGAACATGGGTTTAGTGCACGTAAGGGAACAACACGGCTTGACGTGGAAGGGAATGTGAAGACACAAGAATTTTGTTGTTCCAAAGAAGGGTTTCGAGTATCAAAAGTCAATACTGTTGATCGTCAACGTGCTCATACGCCAGTCACAAGAACAGGATGTAAGGCTAGAGTCATAGTTACAGCAACAAATACAAACGATCAGTGGGTTATAAGTAAGTCTGATCAGAAACATAATCATGCATTGTGCACATCTGCTATGACACCATTTATGCGTTCTAATCGAGCTGTAAGTAAGGCTGATATCGATGAGGCAACAACATTGAAAGAGGTCGGTGTTGGCACGTCACAAGTAATGAACTATTTAACGCAGCAGGCAGGGGGCTATCATAATGTTGGATTTACACATAAAGACCTCTACAATGCACTTCAAAGAGGTAAAGCAAAGGAAATCGTCGATGGGGATGTGAATGCGCTTATTGCCTACTTTGATTATAAGAAACATGATGATCCCGGGTTTTTTATGACATACTCGGTAGACGAATCGGGGGCATTGTATAATCTTATTTGGTCGGATTCTACATCGAGATCGGATTACACATGCTTCGGTGATGTAATTGCGTTCGACACAACGTACAAAGATAATTTGTATGGTCGACCAATTATGCCTATTGTTGGTGTCAATCATCACCATAACACAATTGTGTTTGCCACTGTCATAATCGCTGACGAAACGTCTCAATCTTTCGAGTGGGTGCTACAGAATTTTTTAGAAGCCATGATGAATAAATCACCTATTTCTGTTGTAACCGATGGGGATAGGGCAATGCAGAGGGCTATCAAATCTGTTATCCCTTATGCTAAGCACAGATTATGTTCTTGGCATCTTTCTCGCAATGCACAAGCTAACATTGGTGACCCAAAGTTTACAGCAGCATTCTCAAAATGCATGGCTTCCTGGTGGACAACCAAGGAATTTGATATTCAATGGCGTTCGATTGTTTCAGAATTCAACGTCCAAAAGCATCCATGGGTGATTGAGAAGGGAAATACACGACACTTATGGGCACAAGCATATCTAACCGGTCATTTCTTTGCCAATATTCGCTCAACACAAAGGTGCGAGTCTATGAATGCTTCACTAGCTATTGCACTGAAACACAAGAAGACATATTTAGATGTTGTTCGTGCAATTGAAGATGGAATTAGTAGAATGCGTATGAACGAGTTGAAAGCGGATTACTTAAGTTCCCATACGAAGCCCTTCCAGATCACAAAACTGGTCGACCTTGAAAGCCATGCCGCTGCGATTTTTACCCGCGAATCTTTTCGTGTGTTCCAAGATGAACTTATACGGGAGACATTGTACCGGATTGAGGCAGAGATTAAGTCCTTATCAGATGAATGTCAACATTATATTTTGTCAAAGTACGCAGAAAAAAATAGGAAATTTGAAATTAGTTTTGATTCTCGTACGAAAACTCTAATTTGCTCCTGCAAAAAATTCAAGACCGTTGGACTTCCGTGTCGCCATCAACTTCACATTTTGAAGCAATTGGACTACACATATTTGCCCGGGACTTTGATTCAAAGTAGGTGGACTAATGATGCGAAGGCTTCTGCACCCAGCTATGTTGATTTGAATG